GATAGTGAAGAGAGACAACAGCAGCTCAGATTGCAAAGCGAAGCAAATGAAAAGGAAAAGGATAGGAAGCTTGAAAGGCTCAAGATTGAAACTGAAGAAAACCAAAGAAAAAGGGAGCATGAAGAAAAGAGGATGGAGGTTGAAAGGCTCACAATTGAAAATGAAGAAAATGAAAAGAAAAGGGAGCACGAGAGGCTGAAATATGTAAGTGAAGCAAAAGAAAGGGAAAAAGATAGGGAGCTTGAAAGGTTTAAGATTCAAAGTCAAGAGAGAATTGCCATTGAGAAATGTAAATCTAAAGAAAAAGTTGCTAAGGAAGAAGCTGCAAAAGCTAAGGAAGAAGCTAACGCAAAGAAAGAGGTGAATAAAACGCTTGATAAATTAAACACCGCAAAAAATCCACGGGCAGCATTGATGGTGATTGGTGGAAGAACCCGGCGTGATGATGGCTATAATCCTGCAGAAGCCTCTCGTCGTGGGGTGAATATTACACAAGAAGACAACAGTCTGAGTTCTCAATCTTCTCTGAGTTCTCAGAATTCTGACGGCATTGTAAGTATTAATGCTAGAGAAAATGCACCCGACGATCCATTCTTATACAATGAAGCACAAAATCAAAAGTGGACTAGGGTACACGAGAGGCAAGTAAAAACTGCTATATATTAATTAAGCACCTGGATTTGCCTGCTGGCCAAACAAACTTTATATAATACTTGTGTGACTTTGTTGTGCCCTCAATTTTAAAATTATTGTTTTGTAGTGCATACCTATACCCTTGATGTTGTAGTTGTAACTAGTTAAGTAGCTGTATATTTATTTTTATTAAATATTTTTGTCTTTTGAGCAATTATATGACATGATGCTCCTTTGACACTATAGTCTATAGCATGAAATTTGTATGAGGTTATGAGGAAGACCTCATGTTACAAAAAATCTCCTTAGATTCCAAAAACTGGCTTGTACATAAAAGGTAGACCATATAGTTTGCTATTGGAACCATGCAATAATAAAATTATTGTTCTAAATAATAATAATAATAACAATAGTTATTAAGTAATAAAATTGATGAGCTATTAATTATAATCATTGCTTTCGTGTCGCTCCATACACAAACGTTAATCCACAGCTGCTCCATATAACAGACTATATGTACCAGCTGGTGAGTAGTGATGTTGAATTGATGCATTTAATAAGATATGATATCCTTTCCCTCTGGATGTGTGATAAATTATTCGTGTGTGCTTCTCATTTCAACAGGAACAACCTGAGCTCGAGTGTCCAGATTTTCTGTTTAATTTGACCGTACCGAGTTTTAAATTGACATTTAATTTATCTAATGGTATAGTATCAGCTAGAGAGGGAGAGAGGGAGAGAGGTGAGAGAGAGAGAGAAATGAAATACATGTTTACATAAAGTATTAGTACATGTACATGTACTCTAACCTATTCTAGAGAATAGGTCCTTTACATTGGTGTCATCTTTGGCACTGCACTCCATGAATATGGCATTCACTGATTTAGCATATTCTTCACCTTTTGAAGCAGTAACCTAATGAAGTGAAATATATGTACAGTAGACTAGGTATGCAAACTCACTCCTAGTCTCTATTATTCACTATATTATGGTGGCGATTTTTCAAAGTGTAATTTAGTGTACATGACTCATCATTTACACATGTACATGAACTTGCATATGCATATTATG